CACCTACACATAATGCATACACACACACACACACACATTATATATGAACTTCGGACAGGCTGCATTCGAACCATACCATCGTGTGATAGCAGCGCGATGCATGGAACTTCTACCCACTGAACTAATTCGATAGCATTACAGTAATATTCATTGACATCGTTGCTAGAACCGTCATATAAATTTGTATGTATCATCAACATCATAATGAAAACTCCTTCAATGTCTGCATAATCGGCTGAGAACAACCAACGCCATCATCATCGTCGTCGTCCATCTACTCCTCCTCATCATCCTCATCATCTTCCATACGAGATTCCACCGTCATCACGATGATGCAAATATATGCCGTGCATCACTCCACAGCGTGCACACTCATGCATTGTACATCGTGGCATCTACGCCAATACACACGTACACGTACAACACAATCACACAAATATTTAAAAATGCACACACATTACACCAAGCTATCACAAACTCATTGGAACATCACACAGTAAACTTCTATGTGGATTTACGTTACAGAGTCCAGTAACTCTGTGACGGTATTGTTGTTGTACAAAGATTCATCCACATCCGTTGTCACAAGCGTACAACATTAACACACACACTCACACACACGTACATCTGTGCAAACTTATACACACTTACAGACAAACTTATACATACTCACAGACACACAAATACAAAAGACACACAAACACACACACACACATATATATATACACACATACATAAATATTTATATAAGTTTATACTCACATTCATATACACGCACACACATTCATAACCTTGGAACGTGATAGAAGCAAACTGCTTAGAAAACTTCGAAACTTCATAGCTGTTTATAATTGCGCATAGCTGGCGTTATATATCAACATGAATACATACCAGTATAATAACATATATATATATATATATATATATATATATATATATATATGTATATATATATATGTATATATATATATATATGTCATGTATGTACGTGCATTGTTGTACTCACACACACACACCACACACACACACACACACATATATATATATATATTTATGTAGTTGTATATAAGTTTATATATTCATACAATAATCATACATTAAACAAATATATAATAAAACATTCCACATCCATATAATTGTATGGTAAGCATCCTTCTATAGATACACATCGGTTGAGAAAGATGCGTGCATGTATGTATGTATGTATGTATGTATGTATGTATGTATGTATGTATGTATGTATGTATGTATGTATGTATGTATGTATGCATGTATGTATGTATGTATGTATGTATATATGTATTTATATATGTACGTACTCTGTATATATGCATGTATGGTTATTAATTAATCCCTGATGTTCATTCAATCGTTTGTTTAGATGTAATGATGTTCGGATGTATCTCCGTAGTTTAGTTTCTTTGTTTTTTTTTCTGTAAATGTGGTTTTAATATTTTAAACATTTTTATTGGAAGAGTTGAGTTGATGTATTTAAATAATTTAATTTAAACTGAAATTGTATTTGTATTAATGCTTATATTATCTAAAACTACAAATCCCGGATTTTAAAATTTCATTTAAATGTTAAGCTGAAACTCGATGGATAGATACACGCACTTACGTATATTATATGCCAACTTAAACTTATCTAACAAAAAATACTTGGGAGTTAACAAGAATAAAATTGGCTATAATATAATTTATAATATAATATTATTTTTCAATTATTGCATTATACATCAATTTATATTACGATTATATAAACTAATTTTATAAATTAATTTATATAGCGACTAAATGACTGCTGAAGGAAAATTAGTTTAAGTAGTTGTTAATATATTAATTAATTAATTAATTAATACGTTAATTAAGTTGTTGACCGAGGTTGAAATTTGTCTAAACATCTTTTGTTATCATTGACTTACTAGCTAACCGTAAATTAACAGAATTGTGTGTGAACGACAGTGAAACAAATCTCGCTCTCTCATACATTTTATTAATTTACTTATCCTTTGATAATACAACAGAGGTTGCTAACAGAAGAGAATGCCGTACCAAATTTATCGGCAGATTAGATAAAAAAATAAAGTTTAAACTTCTCAAAGATTACTCATTTTCCATTCTGCCTTGTTTTAGCTGATGTGCTGCAGACACCAGTAAGGCGGTAATAGCACCATTTAGCATCGTTAACTTAACAACATTCAACAGTACCATAAAGCATATATTCCTGAATTTTAATTGAACCGAAAACGCCTTTAACACGTTTCCGTCAAATTCATCATTTCTCATTTTCAACATTACCTTCGGCACCATCATCTTCATTATCGTCTGCGTTATTTATTGTCGCCAAATGATCACACATCTTCATCAGTCTGCATCATTAGCGTCAAAAAGCCGTCATCGTCGTCATACAATACATACAGCAAAATCTGTAGTCACCGTGACAATTTGTTTGTGTTTTAGAGCTAATTAGCATACTTGACGAATTTCTATTGGTCTTCTACTCTACCCAATCATCCATCATTGATCTATTTCCTGTTTATACTTTAATTGAATTGCTGAGGGAGCTTGATTGTGAACCATCACAAGACAGTGGTGCCACTAGTTTTAGTAAACCAACTTGAATTTACAGTAAATATACAGTGAATTAGTTATTAAATAAGAGGGAAAATAATAATTATATATTTCGACCATACTGTCCCCGCTTAATTAATTAAATTAGTCCTATTCATCAGTTAACTTACGACAAAGTTCTCCAATCCAAATGATATAAATATAGAAATCAAATAAAAAAATTAATTTAAATGAAAAAGTAGAGACATGTCTTTTAAATTACAAACTATTATCCAGACTGTAATAGAAAACTCTGACAATATCGGTATTTGTCGAGTAGTCCAATTTGCTTAACTCTGTGATATCAAACAATCGGCTTTTAAAGTTCTGAAATAGCAAGTTGTACCTAAAATAGAATCCTACACACATTTATATATCTATATATAACAACACACACACACGCAAACACACACATATATATATATATATATACCGTATAATATACACTGAAGATGTCTCTTATGGTTTGGGTATCTTCTGATGGCAAACTTCCAGTGACGCAGCTGGTATGAACCTTTATTTTGTTTATTTATTTATTGTTATCTATTTTTTCATTATATATTTTAAAAATATTTTAATTAGAAGTAAGTTGGTGATGGGTGAAGGAAATATTCGTTAAAGGAAAGAGGGCCTCATTAATTTGGAGTCTGTTCTTTGTAATATATTTCGACGGAAAGAAATATTTAGCAAATTTTCTTGACTATAAGGAACTTTGTGACTTAAGTAGTTTCCATCTAGTCCTTTTAAATTATTTCGTATTTTCTGAGTAAATTTTTTATGATCAGCCGTAAATAATTTCAATCTGACATTTCTGAAACTTTCTGTGGTTTTCGTGAATTTTTATAAAGTTATTTGCTAACCGGCGGGGCTGTGCTTTTTTTTATTCATTTTGGGTTTGCAACTAAATTGTCGGATAAACTCACACTATCCGATCCAATCTCTTTCCCATAGTTTTATAAAATTTTCCATTCAAGCGTGTTGTCGCTAAATGGTTCTGATTTGTACAAAATACAGTATTTATGTTTTTATTCATAATTATATTTTTAATTATCCATAATAACAAATATTATTATTGTTATAACGAGGTAAGTTTTCGGTTATAAAATATGGTAGGTAGTCATTTTGATGTGATGTGAAAATCATGATGTTAAAATCGGAAACAGAATCTTTAATATGAATCTTGCATATTTTTGTCTACCTATACTACCTACCTAAACTATGCCACACTGAATTTAAAAGAATTTAATTTTGTAAAAAGCATTTTATTACTATTTCAAGAATTTTACGAATTATTTATTTTGAAGCTTAATTTTTACAATTTCTTAAAAGATTGATACATATTTTTGAAAAATAAAATATCCAAATTATAAAAATTTTTCTTATAAACTGTCAGAATCTAAATTTTTAAAATTTTGGTTGCATGATCTAATCTATGTAGCTTTGTACGATTGAAGTACTTCATGTTGAGAGTGAGTTTATTGATATGTCATGTTATATCAAAGCCTGTTTCCAGGTCTATAGCTTAAGTTGTAGGTAATAAACTGTTCGGTTGATTTGATTAGAGGTAACTAATTAATTGATTGGCAGTCTCGTGGTCGGTTGAAGTCAGTATTTTAATCTATCCCTTTGATTAATCGTCTTTGTGGTTTTCGTTTTTTAATAATGATAATGATTTTCATAATTTTGAAACTGTTTTTTATTATTATTTTCGGAATAAACAATATTTTTATTTGTGAATTATTTATAAAGATTCTTCTCGTTATATAATCATCTTTATTATCTGTTTGAATTTACGTTCATACGCATGTTTGCGTCCTTCAAAATGAAAATAAAAATTATAAGTTAAAAGCCGTTCTCAATTTGTTCCGTCCCCACAGCAATTGTTAGCTGGACAGCAAGCACTGCCGACAGGTTTTCAACTACCGCAGCTACAACTTTCCCAACACGCAACTGCTGTTATCGATCCTGGCTTCCAACGAGTTGCTACACCAGCAGTTTTCCAGGCAACAGCTCTGCCCAGCTACCAGCAGCAGAGCTTAGCGGCTGCCGCTCATCTACTTCCCTCTCCAGGTGTCACGTCTGTCCTGAAAAATAATGTGGCAGACGAGTCAACAACGTCAGACGCCGCAATTTCAACAGCCTCTCAATCGTCTGCTGATTCGCTCGCTCTTGTACCCGTCGATTATCCCGTAAGTCAATTACTTTGAGAAGATGGGCCAAAGATGAAATTACATTAACTTTTCTAAATTTCTGATGTTTAAGCTTATTCCAAAAATTACAAATAATTTTACGATAAGAAATAATATTTCTGTGGATTGAATTTTCAATAGAGTGACGGATTTTGTTGAAAGATTGTTCATTTTTCTTTGCAGAGGAAGGAACTGTTGACGCATTCAGAGGCAGGTCCTAAGCGGCTGCACATCTCAAATATTCCCTTCAGGTTCAGGGAGACTGATCTGAGAACTTTGCTAGAAGTCAGTAATTCAAATTTACTGTCGATGTTTTTAAAGAGCGCGATCTAAGTTCAGCTATTTTAACGTTCAATTTTATGTTTATTCAATTCACTTGTGTTAGACGATTTTTGTTTATAACTTAGTTACTTAATATTAGTTGACGTCTGGTTCGTAGGCTTTTAGTTCTTCAACAAGTTATTATTATAACCTAAATTGCATCTAAATAATTTGATATTTATCGTTAAATATTTAGAATTTCCACAATTTCAGTCTTTTAAAATCTTTTCTTCCACAGCCTTTCGGAGTCATAACGGACGTGGAAATTATTTTCAACGAAAGGGGCTCCAAGGTTCGTGTTTCAGTTTTTCAAATCGTTTCAACAATCTTTAAAAATTAGAATAATAAATAAATTAAAAAATAAATAATTGTAAATTAACTCATTTTAATGGTTAATGATAGATGCAATGCGAAAAACAACAACAGGACAAACCATTCCTGTACATCACTGATCAAATTGCTCAACCAAATCAAAATCACCATTTAAAATTTAAAACAGCACACACACACACACACACACACACACACACACACACACACACACACACACACACGCGTAGCCACATCTCATATAAAAATGAACTTTTAAATGCATTCCACTGATAGAAGCATTTCAGATGTGACATGTGATCAAAATATTCTCAGAGGGAGGCAAATTTAAAAAAAAAACAGGTGACTTAATGCTATCGTAATGTTGTTAGCCTGGCCTGGTCTGTTTGAAATTTTATTCAAGCACTGGAATGAGCATGGGCAACTTGTTTATTATTATTTTTATTATTATTATTATTAAATATAATTTTTCTTATTTATTGTAATAATTGTTATTTTTATTGAAACTATTAATCATAACTGTAACAATATTTTATCGTTTGTCATCCCTTATAATCTGATTTGTCCTAGTTTGTTATTCTTGTACGATCTGACAAATAATTTTTATGGAATGCCATTTGAATTGCTGAAAATTTGGAGACCAAATTAGGCTTCTATTGAAATTTTGAATATTAAATTAATCAAATAATTTGGAGCAAATAAAAATCTTAAACAAACATGAAACCGAATTTTAAAAATATAAAAAACTGTTAAGCAATAATGTTTTCCAATTCAACGACAGAATTTCATGTAGAAGCCTAATTAATTGGTCTTTGATTTGTATTGGAATTGCGATTAATAATATGAAGTGTAAATGATGTGATGTTCTTTTTTGTTCTTTGTACAAATTGCTAGGCGTCGTGCTCTGTCTGGAATGATTCACCGTTTTATAATAATTTATTACAATTTATTATAATGTATGCTGCGTCCGCTCTATATCAACACCATCATCACTACTAACAGCCTATCTTAATCACCACATCATCGTCATCGTGGTCATCATCATTATGGTCACCATCCTCATCATCGTCGTCGTCATCATCATCTTCACCATCATCATCACCATCATCGTCTTTATAATTTGAATGTCTATTTTTGTGGCTTGCCAGCCATTCAGGATGTTATTTACTAAATTGAACAACCCTGTGGAGCATATTATCCTAATCAGTTTAGCTGTTTAAAACATTGCCATTGTTTGTCAGATGATTATGTTATCTTATAAGTTTTTTATCGACATCTTTAATTATTATTATTACTATTGTTAATTATTACCGGTGTATTATTGTTATAATTTATAATAATTTTATTGACATTATTATAATTGTTACGTCCGAGTCTGCTCTGATTAGTTTTTTTTCTCTTTCTTCATTAGCCAACTAAGCAGGCTTGTAAATAATATTATATAACTTTGAATATCTGTTTTATTATCACATTGGAGAAATTAGTTTTCGTTAATTGTATTCAGCAAGTACATTTGTACATTCATTATTATTAATATTCATATATTTATACTGTTTACGTATGCATATGGACAATGATTTAGTACATTTTTTTTAATTGTTTTCTTTTTATATTTCCAAAGTGTCTGTCTGGTGTATCTCTTGAACGGCAGGCTGTACGGATGTTACTTAAATCTTGACAATGTCCGGAGAGAGAGAAAGAGAGAGAGAGAGAGAGAAAGAGAGAGAGAGAGAAAGAGAGAGAGAGAGAAAGAGAGAGAGAAAAAAAGAATGAACAAAAAGAGAGAAAGAGTGTGAAAGAGAAAGAAGATGTGAAAGCGTAAAAGTAAGAGAAAATAAGAAAAAAAGAAAAAAAAGAGAGAAACAGACAAAAAAAGAATGAGAAAACCTAGATTCACCGTTTTCGGAAAATACTTGAATTAGTTCCCTGACTCTAGAATTTCATCATTGGAATTGTATCTGTCTGTTGCTTACTCGGAGAACGATTGTTGTTACATATTATTTAATATCCGTCATTTACTTTTTCGCCATTTGTGAGCATGCTTGCATTATAATTAACCGTCGGGAGGGAGTTTTTCAGTTTCGGCATCATCCGGTAATTTTGGCCAAATTATCTACAATTTTTTAATGTTTTTATATTTAACGGATAGGTAAATTTTGCGTACAATCTATCGGCCATTCATAATGTTGCCCATTATTTTGCATGACAAGATAAGACTGATAAACTGCATTCTCTTCAACCAAGCAAAGTTACTTAACGTTATCTACTTTGCATAAGAATGTATCATATATTGATTATTAGCAAATTTTGCAATGGAATTATAAAGCTTGATAAGGTTGTGCAATGTGTCCGGTCATGATTTGAATTCAGTAAATCTTAGGAGTATTAACATTTATTTATTTTAATATTTGGCGAATTATTTTTGTTTCTATTGTTATCGTAATGTTTATTTGTCTGAAAATCCAATTAACCGGTCGCTATTGAATTATTTTATTTTATTGTGAATTTGGAATGAATTTTTTCGCTTATAAAGAATTAAGTTTACATAGAAATTATGAATCCCATTTGATTTGTGAAACAGCGAATTTTTATAAGCATGCCTTTGACTTGTTTGTTTATCGTGCATGTAATAATGGATGTGATTCATAAGTACCTACTTGCACTTGCATGCATTTTAATTAGTTATTTTGTTACTGGATCATCTGTCTTTAGTGGTTGCAGACTTATTCTGGTTCGTTAGCGTAATGGATAGATACGTCCATGCGACTGTTAATAAGTTAAATGTGAAGAATGAAGCGACAACATTAAAAACCTCTCTATTCATATTCAAACAGGATCTGCGTAATTATTTTTTCTTTATTAGTTTTATTATACTAGTTAAGTTGTTAAAGCTTCAAAACCTTCGGTTCACTTTCTAATGCGAAAGTTTAACTAATAAACTTTATTAGGTTTGTCTGTCTAAATAATTTTTAAGTTTTGTATTTGTGGAGAAATATATTTCAAAAACAAGGGAATAAAAAAAAGTTTCAAGTTTCATTTTTAAAACGACTCAGCAAGTGGCAGAAATCTTGAAAGAAATTATTTTCAGCTGAGATGAACAAACATATTAATGCATTTTGTTGTATATATTTCACATTCCTCTCATTCTCTGCAACCAAACCACAATTACTTAACGCCAGTTAGTTTCCACAAGAATGTATCATCATACATTGCAAATTTTTGTAATGAAAAACACATGTTGAGTGTATTCTACTGGTCCGCTAGAGATAAATGTTGCCTGAGACAAAATTTCAAAATAGTATACAGTGTCTTGGTTGCTATCAACCTTATCACGCAGCACGTCTCTGCAACCAGTTTGATTTAATCCATCTGGTCGGCCGAACAACCTATGTGATTCATCATTTTGACAGTGTATTTAAGAACGGACATGCACTGTATTTTTCCAATGTTGTTCTCTAGTGCAACATGTGTTCCACGTATCGTGATGCATCATCCAGTGAGCCGGATTGTGAGTGATGTTTAGAAAAGTTTGGCGGGTAAAAAAATGTAAAATTAACAACAGCAAACAAGTTAGCGATGGGTGGAGTTTCGATGATGTGAAATCATTAACAAAATGGTGTTTGGTATACACATGAAATAAAAAAAACTATTATGCAAACGAAAAATATGTTTAAGAGTTTAGAAGAAAAAATCAAGTAGAAGTTCCTAAATATGTTTTCTTCAATCTCAGGGGTACATCATTTTTAATGTTTGTCTGTTTGGTGTGCTAATAAATAAACTATGGAAAGAGATGACATCCCAGGACGTGGAATGCATGGTACCAAGCAAGAAGCTGTATGGAAAGGTATCAGTTGGAAAATTTGTTGGATAGACTCAACTGCAATCATACTTGTCATGCTAGAATATATAAAATCTTTATTAAACAATAACACTTTCAGAGGTGTGGTATATATATATATATATTTTTACAATAATCTATAAATTCTACCGAATGTTTGGCGCGAGCAGCGACTGCTCCATCTTTCTCGAGAATTAGAAGTTAAACGCCAAACATTCGGTAGAATTTATAGAATATTGTAAAAATTATGGTCTATTACCAACATTTACTCGAAGTTCTGCGACCAACCGACGTAATCTAACAATCGAACAAGATCGCGAGCAGCGACTGCTTCATCTCTCTCGAGAATTAGAAGTTAAATCGCCAAACATTTGGTAGAATTTATAGAATATTGTAAAAATTATGGTCTATTACCAACATATATATATATATATATATATATATATATATATATATATATATATATATATATATATATATATATATAGGTTAATACAAAAATGCCGGAAATACTTGCTTTAAAATTTTTAATGAATATTTGGGAATATAAAAAGAGTGATCTATTTTAAACTGATAATATTTTTGTTGATTTATTATTTTTACAATTTTTAAAGTCAAGCTACCTTAGTATATTGCACGTAGTGGTAGCTTCGGATCCGCATGGTTTTTTGATTCTGGAGATGATAGTTTTGAAGAAAAGTTGAAAATG